TTTCTGTCCTTTCGTCATATTCCCCTCCCGTTCCCTCTGCTGATGAGTCACCGCCATTTTTTTCAGTAAGTTTACTGCCCACGTATTCACAAAGCGTAGGTGGTAGTAATGGCGTAAGTACTCTCTAAGTGGCCTCGTGCTTTGATTTTTTCTTACACTTTGACAAACTTCGCTCTACTATTATCTTATATCAAATGAACCAAAAATCCAAGTATTGCACAACAGTGAAACACCGTCGTTTATAGCACGTAAAATAAAAAAGCTGTTAAAAATTTAAAATGGCAAAGTCAGTGTGGCCCTACTATAGTTATGTACATGTACTACTACATGTAATAAAATTTTGAGAATAATGCAAATATTATTTTCTTCAAGATTTCTCTCCTTTCAAATTTTTGTGATTAAAATTTTGTTGTTGTAACTGATTTTCACTTGAAAATTGCTGTCACCATTGACTGTAAATATAATTTATGTATTTGCTCTCATAAGAATATACCGTATAGCCACAAAGTTTTGAGGCAATAAACTTTTGCAAATCAGGCCACAAGTCTTTTTTCACGAATTAACTTTCGCGGACCTTATTTTAAAGTACATGTGTTTGTAGGGTGATACGGATAATTTTACAGGATTAACTTTCGCGGATACGGAAAATCCGCGAAAACAGCGAAAATTGTACCCTAGAAATTAAGTGGCTATGCGGTAAATGTCAGGCTAAAAAATAACTGCACACTACTGGTATTGGAGATTTCCGTATCTTGCAAATTTTTAATACTTAATAATTTTAGCATTATACATGTATATAGCTATGGTATAATACTCTTGTATTTTTGTGGAAGTTTACAATTATAGCAAACAGAAGTTATTGAAAAGGAGTAACAAATGTCTATTGCAAGTCTGTAGATACTTGGATTACAATTTAATTATTTTTTGACTTTCCATATTTGTCACTTTTATTTTTTAGCTATGGATGAAAATGTTAGCTTTAGAGTTTCCAGTAAATGAGATCAAGAAAGAACTAGAGTGTATCATTTTAGACATTGTTAGTGATAGAGTATTTAACATACCAACAATGCAATTGAAATTACAAGCATTTGTTTGTGCTGAGACTGAAAAAAGAACTCAATTTCCTGACTCTCTGAGGAATGTTTTTCTAAATGTAGCAGTTGAAATTTTATCATTCTCAGGAAACGAAGTAACTATTATTAGTTTATGATTGTCCTTATAATCTGTTTTTGTTACGCAGATTTATGATCAGTCAGTAGCTTTGAATTTCGATAAAGTATTTCACTTAATTATTAAAATTATTGAAGAAAGATATGTTGAGAACAAATTATTTGAAGTTTCTCTTAATGATCTGTTAAATTATGAATTTTGGCCTTCATTTTTAAAATTGTACAGTAAGTAACATTATACTGCAATTGTTGTATATTTGTTGTAATAATAATTAGATTCTGAATTTGGGCAAAAACAAAAAGGTATTTGGAAATTTATAGTTGAATGTGCCCTTGGTAAGTTAGAGAGCCTTTGTTCCGATATTCATGGAGGAAACATATCTTTTATTGAAATGAAAACCATCAGGAACAAGCGACTACAATTAAATTTACTATGTGATGTCATTAAACCAGCTCGATCAAATGAACTGCAAAATGATGTTATAGAACGATTAAAAGAACTTGATTATTTTGAGAATTATGTACTGAAACTAAAATATTTTCTTTGTCACATTAGAAACAAATTGATTGGTAAGAATGACAATAATGTACTATATCTAGCTGTATAATAACTAAATTTTTGTTATAGGTCAATATTATTTATTGAATAAACTTCA